GTTAGCTAATTGCATATATCAATGAAAATTAGGTTTCCTTATGTAATTATTCCGTACATGTGACGAAATACACTTTAAATCGGTTTTATAAAAATGTCAAAGAAACTTTGATTATGGTTTAATTTCTAAGAAGTGCAGATGATTTTATCTAAAGAAATTAGTTTTTTTTCTTATTTAAAAATATTCGGGAATTCGTGATTGAAGCAAGTATAAGTTCATTATAGTCAATTATATTCAGCCTTTGGCAGGTATAACTAAAATCGATTCTTAATTAAATCGAATTAAAATCGAAAATAGTGTTTAACAATAATGATTTTTCTATAGAGAGAATTCGAACTGAAGTACACTATCTATAACGTAGTGTTTGTATAAGTTACACGAAAAAGTGGAAAATTACAAGTTTATTAATTATTTGATATTTTGTACAGTCAATTTTTTGTAATTAAGGAATTTTAATACATTTTCTTTTTATTTTATTTATTTGGTAAAAATTCCTTTGAACAAAAAAAAGTGATGTTTTTTAATACACGCTTTATATTTTTCTTCTCAAAAAATATTTCTAATGACAATATAATTTGGGAGTTAAATCCTGATTCAAAAAATTCTCTTCTATCTATATATTCAGAAAAATTTTCCTCCGGATACAATTATTAAAGATAGATTAAAGTCTAATTTAATGTCAAATTTTATAAAAATTTAGATCGATTAAAATGTCTTTAAAAAAAATTGTTGTTTTTATATGTATATACTTTTGTAACTATTATACGGTCTATATAATTATTATTTATATTTCACAATAAATATCTAATTAAAGCGGTGAATGAGTAATATAGAAGGTTTTTTTATAACAATTTTCCCATAAATATTAACTATTTTTAGTTCTGTCTATTTATAAAAGCCAAGCTTTTTACAAGTTTAAATAAGCGAGTTTTAATTATTTATGTACCTATTTATAATATGAATAAATCAATTGAAATTTATTTTGAAAAATTTTCTTTACATATAATATTTCATACGACAATGTGTCGTAAATGGGTATTTTAATATTTTACAACGTACGCATATTAAAAACAAATAATAAATTTTATATACGAAATAAAAAATTTTTAAGTTTTTCTTAAAGCGTGGAAAGTAAAGAAAACTTTTCTCATTAAAGTAGGAAACTTTTTATCTCAAAATGATAGAAAATAGTATTTCTAATGAGCTCCTTTTCTGCTTTTCTCTAAAATGCCAAAAATTATTTGTTTACCGCGAATGTTTGAATTATGACATAACTACTCCAATACTTGCTCTTTTATATTGTATCTGTATTATAGCCATATTTAATTACAAAAATATCCAAAAACGTTGCTGTAATTTATTTTCTTTAATGAATCTTATGAAATCTTATATAGACCTTAATAAATTCACTAGTATAAATGTTAAAATTTGATGTTACTAATCATTTCAGAATATTTACTTCAAATTATGTACATACATATATCTACATATTTTCTTCAAAATTAAATTAAAATCAATTAAAGTCAAACCTTTAAAAATTTTTAGGACAAATTCAAGGTAATTTTCATTCATAAAAACAATTTTCTTTCAAAACAACTTTTAATTAATAAATAATTATATTTTTGCTGGAAAATGATATTTTGATACCCTTCATTGGAATTAGTCACTCTTTTAATACAATTTCTTTTATCAACAAAAAAATATCTAGAATTCACTCGATTCTACGAAAGAAATTCACAAAAAACACTTTAAGACATTATGCGATACGATCAACGTCTTAGTGTCATAAAGAGGAAAGAAAACAAAAACCCAAAGGTGGTAATTACATCTGGAACATTTCAATTCATTGTAACGTAATGTTTACATATAGTTTATTCAAATATTTTTATTTTAGTTACAATTTTATTTTAAACCTAATGACATTAAAAATATTGAAGTACTTATACTAATCAAGAAATCAATTTTGATTATTACATCAATATTATTCAGATTTCGAAATTATTTATTAAAGTGTTAATATAAATTTTGTTAGAGCATTTTGTTATATTTATTTTAACGAGTTCATCGTCATAATGTTGCACTGAAATGTTTATGAAACAAACATGCACTAAAATAAGATCAAGATGAAAGTGTATAAATAAAATTTTTTGATTTTTTTATTGTACTTTTATTGATCTTTGATGACAAAATGTTTTTGGTGAAGAATTATTTGACATTGAATTTTTAATAAGATTATTATTAATTTAAAGACACCCTTGGGTTAAAAGTACAAAAATATTGACATTTTCATTGTTTATATAAGTATGTACAGATGTACCGATTAACGGGCGTATTTTTCATAGTTTTATGGGACGTGAAAAATACCTTTTTTAAAACATAAAAGAACTCTAGAATATTTCTTAAAAATTTAATATAAATTTGTTTTTCTAACACAAATTCCCTAAGTTAATTAAAAGAGGAAATATTTAACCTGGCGGAACACAGGATTAATTTTCGGATAAATTACAAAATATGTATAATACAAAATATATCTCAGTAAATCAACCACAAATAAAAAATCAAAAACAATTTTTTTTTTGGATCTTATACCCCAACAATTTGACGTCAGTGTTTATTACAAAGCACTTCATAGAAAAATAAATACAGCTTCATTTTTGTAATTTCATACTTTCTATGATTAAAAATACTGTTATACTGCACAACAGTTTTATTTCAACCACAAAATCAACATCCTTTTTTATTATATATAGTTTTTTTTCATTCAGTTAAAATATTTCTCTAATTATGAATTTGTTTATTTAAATAGATAAATTTTTGACAAATATTTAATTTTGCGTAAAAGTAAAAGGAAAAATACCAAAATTCGCTGTTATTAACATTAAAAATATATGAAAAGAAAACGATTAGTACATCTGTGAGTAAATATATGTAGGTACATATTTTATATACCCACTGAGTTGAACCAAATTTGATGAACCAAATATATTTGTATTTAATTTGTAATAGAATAAAGTTTTATAATTGAAATTGAAAAATTTAAAACAATTAATCCAAACAGAAACAATAAGAGTCACATGAGTTTTGCATAAATTTTATAATAATGTTTACATTACATAATATTTATTTATATTAGAACTTATTATAGTTCTGATTTTGATTTAAGGGTTTGAGCATTATTTAAATATTTTTGAGTTCCATAATGTAGCTATAAGATTTTAAATTCAATTCACAGAAAACTCTCTTCAGTCGGAACATTTTTAGGCTGAACCGAATTCAAAAGCTAGATTACTACAATATGACACTCAAAGTTTATATTTAGGAAACATTATAGTTTATAATTAATATTAGTATGTACTTTATAATTAAGTAATGCATGCATGTCAAATATTTTGTATAATACGAATATCAAAACGAATAACAGACATAAGAGTATTATATTAAATTCACATTTTAAGTTCTTATATACATAAAATGTATTTATGTAATAATATCGAAAATTAAATATTATTTCGCTTAATAACAGCAAAAATTATTAATTCGAAAAATTCACGTTCAAGGAGAATCTAATAATAATTATTTGAAAAATATAAAAAATTTGAATTATAAAAAAGTAAGTATGTGCAATAAAAATTAATTAATATAACGGAAATGTTATATAGAAAAACCTTCGCAAAAAAATTTCTAAATGATGCAAAACACCCACGTACAATGCCAGGATTTTCTCATTAAATGGAACTTTTAAAATTGTTATCATACAAAAAAAAAATTTCCTCATTTTGTCACATCCCTGCGTCTTCTTATTTACTTTGAAATTATATAATTTAATTATAATTTTTTTCAACAATAAAACAAAAAAATTTTAATTTATAAGTGTTTTCTCTTTTTTTTTTTTAAATTTATCACGATCCAAATCTTCAAATATTATTTTTTATCTCATAAAAAGAAAATAAAATGAAAACAATATTACGCTTTTGTCAACAATGTTGTTGTTAATAAATATTAAAATGTTGCTATAAACCAAAGTACCTAAATATAAATTTATTGCTAATCAAATAACAACAATAAATAATAAACAAAATGTACGAATTTTACATTTTGTATGAGGAAGTCAAAAAGCTTTATTGCGAAATACGGGTTTGATTTTTGCTAATTTGATTTTCGTTTTTTGTTTTCTTTTTTGACATATTTACATAAATTTCAATTTTATTGTCAAAATTTTTATTAATTTCAATTTTATTAATATTTTTTATTTATTGCTAATTTTGTCATTATAGCTGTTGATAATGCGAAATTTTTCATTTGTTTGTTTAAAGAACAACATTTTATTTAATTTTAATTCATTCTTGTTATTCATTTAATAAAATTGTGTGTATTTTATAAATTCTTAATTAATTTATTTAAACTCAACATACAAATGTATGTAGGCATGTATATTGTAAATATGTATGTACATGCAACTCTCTGTATTTTAATCACATTTAAAATTTTTAGTTCAAAAACAAAAACAATGAAAAAAAAGCGAAAGCTTTCACTTTAACCAGGTGTGATATGTGTGTGTGAATTATTTTTACAACCGTTATCATTAATACGCTAGTTATCATTATCAAGTATGGACCTTCTCATTATTTTTTCTTATTCTTGCTGTTTATACTATACGACATTTACTATTATGTGTGTATACATATGTATATAGTACAATATTCTTCATTGATCTTGAATAAATAAATAAATGGATCGTAAAGAGTTTAAGCTTTTTCTCATATACACACTTATTTAAAATGCAAGTTAACTATACATATATAAAAATTTAGTACTTATCTAGTTGACTGACTGACTGACTAACTTATTAAAAGCTAAATTAAATAAAGTTAGTTAATTCTTTGTTTACTTTTATTTTTTTTTTAACTTGTTATTTATAGTATAAGAAAAGCTTACTATAATAAATACAAGCGACCTTTGAAGAAAATTATTTAAATAAATGTGCTCGTCTTAGGTGAAACTTTAACAGTTGACATTTGAAAATCAATTCGGTACGAAGCAATACTTAATTTATAAAATATCATTTTTTTTTTGATGAAAGTGAAGAAAAAACTAAAATAATAAAAAGTATTAAAAGTGTAATTTTTAAAAACAAAATCGGAGTAACTATTTTGTACATCGTACATGAATTTATAATATACAGTAAAGGACTTTGTAGTGAGGAGTTCTCGGAAAGTTTTCAAAATTATCAAATTTAAAGCGAATAAATGGAAAATTAACAATTATAAAAAAAATACAAATACAAAACAATAATTTTATTCAACAAATGTAAAGTGAATTAAAAATAAAAAAAGAGGTGCAATTTGTGGATTAGAAAAATTTTGAAAATTAAAAATTTTAAACAAAATTATCGGAAGCTCTAATTCAAATAAGTAAGATTTTTTTTTATATATATAGATAAGATAATTAAGTAATAAGATGCACAACTAAGAAGTTTTTAAAATCACTAACCGCGCGAATTTTCATAAAATTTCAATTACTTAATTATATTCTTATTGAAATCATAATTTTTAATTAAAATATTTTTAAATTGCATAATTGAAATTCGAATATTGTATAGTGATTGCCATTTTATTCGTGCATAATTATTTTAATTTCAATTTGAATTGTTGTCTATGAAAATAAAAGCGTTCGTCTCTATAAAATTGTTTGTAGTTTATTGGAATCAAGGTAGTTAATAAATAGAACCAAAATTTAGAGGTTTAGAAATCAACAAAATTAAGTTATTTTTTCATCAGAATTGTTCTTTAAATTGTAGACTTAAACTTTTAAATTGTGGAGTATAAAATAAAATTTATCTCGCAATTACGTCTTGGTATTATTTCTGACCAAGTAAGGTTTTTTATTTCAAAATTTCCATAAAATTAAAAGTGTGCTCATTATTATATTAAAAAATTATTAGTCTCGTTAAAAGTATTTAAAATATTTATTGAATTTTAATGCTTCATCTGTTGAAAAAATAAATATCTGGTGAATCACAGAATTTTATTAAGAATCACAAATGTTTTAAAATTTCTTTGTACTAAATTTGAGCATAAAAAATTAATTATGAATTTTCTTTGAATTAGTTTTGTTTTTTTTCAAAGTGAAGACAATTAGATTAAACAATAATTGATGTGACTGCGGTTGATTTACATAATTTTTTTTTATTTTATTTATTAATCTAGCAAAAATATTGTTCTTGAATTTTAGATTTTAATTGCATTAAAATAAAAAAAAAATGGAATATTTTTTAATTTCCCATAATTTAATTTATTAGAACCTATTTAATTATCTTTAAGACTGTTCAAGTCAAATCTATTCAAAATAATTTAAGAAATAAACTTAATACAATTATAATAGAAAAATGCATTAAATTTTTTCATTGTAGAATTTTAAAGATTTTGTTTTAATCATTAGATACTTTTACTTTTACTGCATAATATTACCCAAGAATAAAAAATGAAATTGTTTTTCTATAAAGTTATGAATGAAATGACTTGCACTATGCCATACTGCAAAAATTTTGTTTTGTTTATTGGAAAAATTAAATCTTAACAATTATTATTTGAAATTAATTTAAAGTTTCTGAATTAAAAATTATAAAATAGACAAAATAAAAATTTATTAGATTAATTTAAGACTAATAACCCTCGATTTCTATTAGAAAAATTCTAAAATGTCTTATGCAATAAAAATAAATTTTATAAAATGAAATTCAAATTAGAAATTAAAGCAATATTCAACATTTTTTGAATTTTATTAAATGTAATCGTATGGGATAGAAAAAAACATTAGAAATTGAATTCCAAAACAAATGAATTTCCAATTGAGGTACTTTAACTTTTACATTTTCCATAAAATATTTGATTTTTTTTATTTTAGGTATTAGTTTATAATTTGTATTTTAGGGATTTATAAATATAGGTATATATATTGTATTATATTTAATTAATTCAAAGATTGACTCGCCTTACTTCAATTACCTATTCATTAATTAAATTTTTCCCGAAATTGAACTTGTTTTTCATTAATTTAATATTCTTCTTTAAACTCATTGCAACTATAGAGTTCTAATGTTAAATTTGGTTTTTTTTGCATTCGGAGTTTCACCATTTTAAATAAGATGCATTCGTAAATCATTCGAGTTATGGAAATTCCATTCGATATTTTCTTTCACAGAAATTTGTTCTTCCTCATTATTATTAAAAAAGTGAAATCTGATTTGAAAAATTAAACAATTTGAAAAAAAGAAAATTTAAGAAAATTTAAAAAAACAATTTTCGTGATTTTTGAGAACCGCTTCTACAATTTCTAATTAGACAATAATTTATTGTTGCTTAATAAAAAAGTTAAGCTTTATTAAATTTGCTTAATGAGAATCGATCTGTTTAATTAAATCTTTTAGAAAATAACTATAAAACTTTTTAATTATCGAATTTGCATTGCTTAAATTTTATTATTTAAATTAACATCAAATTTTCAACAATAATTATTATTAAAATTTAATTGTTCATATAAGTTTAAATGTTGAATAGCCAGTGAGTTTATAATATTAAAATTATAAATATTTATTATTGACATTGCACGTGTTGTAAATAAAAAAAAAAAAACAATTTTTTAAGTATTTAGTTGTAACTATTATTAAAATTATAAAAGTTTGGAAATAAAAAATTACTTGCACATCTACTTGTTGTTTAAAGAAAATGTTTTTAAAAAATTCCTAATTAATTTTGTACAAAGTGATCACATGCAATAATTGAAATATAAAATAACAATATTGATGTTAAATGATCATAAAATTTTGAAAATATCAATTAAACAAGTAGAAAATTTTTACAATTTTATTCTCCGGCTCCTTTCTTCAATTTGTTTAATTTATTTGTCTATTAGGCCCAACATTGTAATGCAAAAAATTTCAAAATTAGACGCAAGTTCGCAATCATCCAATTAATAATTCCATATGCATAAAAATTTTGAAGTGCCATCGATGATCGTCAGGGCTTATGTTTTTCAAAGCAATAATTAAAATCCGACTAATTGATCTCAAGTGTTTTATTATTGGTAATATTTACCTACCTAAAATTATCTTATTGTGATTATGTTGAACAACTTAAAAAATATTAATTTATCACGAAATCTCATTTTTAATAATTTTTTTTGCAAAGGAAATTTAATCAATATAAATTATTCGACACACTTATTAAAGTGATATAAGAGATAAAATTATTAATTTGAAATTATAAGAAAAAAATCATATTAATCATAAAATTTGAAAGTACGTAATGATTTTAGCATTAAAAAAATATTTGCTGAGTTAGACCTAAAGAAACGTTGCTGTAGACATACATTAGAAATTAACTTTGTACATGCTCAGATTTAGAGTTTTGTGCCAACTTTCAAATATTTTATATACTTGCATAGTTCATGCAATTACATTGAATAATTACTTAATATTTTCTATGTCAATCAACAATAATTTAATCTTCCACAAAAACAGTTTAGTTAAATTAATCGAAATAAAATCAGTTTACGATATTCGATACTTTATTTAATCCATATTATGACGTTGCCAATTATGATTATAAAAACGCTGCACAGCGCACTCTGGAAACTAAATCGTAACTTTTAGTATAAATACATTGACTTTTGTACAAACATTCATATAATCATCATGCACGATTTTAATTATTAGGTATGGGATATGCTTAAATTTTATTGTCAGATTTTTCTATTTAAGAATTATAGTTGTTTTAGTTTAAATTTATGAGTTCCGGTACATTGAATATTCAATAAATCAATTAAGCAATTTTTAGAATTAATAATAATGAAATATTGATTGGGATTATCGTATAGAAATTCATAGAATATAAATTATAATATCAGTGTTATCCGGTTCTTGTATAAGTTTTATTGATTATGCAGGTTAATGTAGCATAGATAATGTAAGTGCGCCAGTTTTACAAAAGTTTTAAATTTTTATAAAACATTTTAAAAATGCAAGTGTTTTTATTAAATTTACTTTTGGAGGGGATATTTCAAGAATATTAAATTCAAGAGATTAAGCAAGTAATAAACAAAGTTTAATGCCCAATTCCGACAGGCTACTTTGTATGTTACGATCATACTCGGCATAAATGCATAATGTATTTCTCATACAATTTTTTTAATCTACCTCTGGATCTGTATAATCACCATTTTGGTTGTCTATTTATTGCTTGTTTAGAAATCAAACACCATTAATTAATCAAACAGTTTTTTTCCATCCATTCAAACTCATGGGCCCTTTATTGCTAAATCAAACTCTCACCGACTTCAAATCAAACAAAATCAATTAATCCCATTTGATTGTGCAAAATTTTACTTTAATGAAATAAGGTTGCTCCTAAAGCACGTGTCGAGTACATTTAAGAACCTTCTCAAATTAAATTTTATTGCATTATCTCTTACTAAAGTAAAAAACTTTAAATACAACTAAATAAAATTAAATGCCATACCAAAAGATCGCGCATCCTTCGTTTAGATCATAACTACAATACGTATGTATCGACAACTTTATATAGCGACGTTATAAGGCGGCACTTCAATAATACTCATTTTGTAAGCCAACTTGTAGGAATCATGTCTCATATCAGTCACATTTTTATTTCGATATTTCATAAATAATAAATTTAATTATATGTGATAAGTGATAAAATTATTACAAAATATCACGAAAAAGTAGTAATTATTTTCTACTACTTTTCATAAGTTTATATGGTTATTTATATGAATATATACTGTATGTATAAGTATTTAAGTACAGTAATTATTACCATTATTGTTCTACAGGTAATCCAACTTAATATACTGATTGAATTTTTGTTTTAAAGTTTTTAATGAATTCATAATTAATTTGAGTGTTAACGTATGTTAACTTTTACATAATAAATCTAATGTCACTCATTAGATTTATTTAATTATGTAGTGTATTGTTAAAAACTGTAATTTGTAAATTAAACAACATTTTTAGATTTTAAAGGAAAATCTTCAGTACAAAGTTATTTTAAGTACAACTAAGCTTAAAAAACTATCAAGTTAGAAATGAACAAGTAACACTATCTAAAATGAGCCACTGTAAAATAATTCTTGGGTATAGTAGCTTACTAAAAAAACAAAACAAAATTAATCACATAGTTCATTGCATTAAAATTGTAAAAGACAAAACCATAGCGGTTTCGGTAAATAGGAAAGACTTACAATTAATAAACATAAGTAAATTGAGGTCCACTGGAAATTACAGACATGCCTATTATCTGCTTGTTCCTCTACAGCGTCTCGGTTCCGGGAGCGAATCCTTATTATCACTTTCTTTGGTTCAGCTAAAAACAGACACAATGAGTCTCTTTTCGAA